CTCTGGGCTCCAATGCAGCCAATCAGACACAAATCTGTCTGGCTGCATTCCTGGCCGCTAACGGCCAGGTAAACAAAGAGCTGAAATCTCGTCACTTCCGGTTCCTGGGGTCACAGAGAGGGAGGAATAACATCAGTTCCTCTGTCCTCTGTAATGTCACTGCCGCCAGTTACAGCTGTCCCGGCCTCTGCGATTGGCCAGGTGAGTCCGGGATAGGTGGCGATGGTAGTGGGACCCATTTGTGCTGCCTACAGAAGTGATCGAGTGCCTGTTTAGCCACTCGAATCACTTCTGCATGAAAGAAAATCACTGGCTGCAAATTTTAATACAGGGATGATGCATCATCCCGGTATAACTATGCCAACCCCAGGATGTCCATGGACATGTTTAATCTATAAGAAATCCTTAACGTGAAGATTTAGGCCTTTTTCACACAAGGGGACTGATCTCGTCTGCCTGTCAGATTTTCAGGTGGACCGGACCTTCCATTGTCCTCTATGACAAACAGAAAACAGAGCAGCGCTGAAAAGTGACTGAGTACGGCTCCTCCTTCACACGTTTCGTGTGCGCGCACATTCTCAAAAGGGGTGTGAAGTATTTTGATGTCACCTGCATAACAGGACCTGTTTTCAACACTTTACTTGGACCCAATTGTGTCGCGCTTTCACCATCCTATGAACACTCTTTGTCTGAAGACTTGTTTAGTCGCACAGATTTCCTTTACTGCCCCATCCATAGCGCATCACTCATCTATATTGAAAATATTGTTATCACGAATAATGATTTATTTCAATAATTTTTATAATTTATGGTTATCCTAAGTTTTCTCACTTTTCACGCTGCACTGTTTTCTGTTTGTATTATGTGTAAGGTTTAGGGTTCCTTTTAGTGCATTTGCAGCTGATTCCTATCTGATCCTAAAGCGATCGCTGTCTCTTTGTTTTCTTCACTGTCCTCTATGAAGCTGTCCGTGTAAATGGACATGTGTCTATTTACACCCACTTACATCCAATCCGCTACAAACAGATGGGGATCAGTTTTCCTTCCGTCTAGAGCACGGTTGTGTCAAACTGGCGGCCTTCCAGCTGTTGCCAAACTACAAGTCCCACAAGACATTGCAAGACTGACAGTTACAAGCATGACTCCCAAAAGCAGAGGCATGATGGGACTTGTAGCTTCACAACAGCTGGAGTGCTGCCAGCTTGACACCCCTGCTCTAGAGGATCGGATGGCAGTCAGGTGAAAATGGACAGACAGTCTATTTACATCTGATTGCTCATAGAGAAGAGCGGGCTGTGTCTGTGTCAGCGCTACATAAGTGGAGTGGACATGGACCCGCCATTCTCCTGCTCAGCGCGGATCAGTGGACTGGTCTTCCCATCTGCCCCATCTAGAAGGAGCCTTAAAGAGAAAAGTAGGGAATTTGCCTGTGTGAGTTTTGAATACAAATAAAGTGAGGGGCGCATAGTCTGAATGTGTGAGCTGACTTAGTCATCATAGCCATTCTGGAGGAAAGCATTTCATCAACAAGGACATGGTGGATGCTAGAGCCTGAGCCATGTGTCTTAGAAGAGCAGGTGTTGCTTCATTCTGTAGGGTTTAAAGGTTCCAGGCATCCACCAATGAGGGGCCAGGCAGTAGGTGTTGTATGTTTGCTCTTGATGTATAAGATGTGTGACTACAAAGCTTGGAGTGGTGCAGGGAAGGGTGGATGGTAGTGATAAAGTCACCAGTTTCAGTACAAACAGACTGAGCAGGCCTCGTTCAGGTAGTTTCTGGCTAAAGTAGTTGTTGATTCTTACATATACCCAGTGAAATGACAGCCCTCAGATTATACACAGAGATGAAGCAAATCATCCTACATCATTTTCTCCTGTTCCGCAGCCATTTCTCCTGTGGAGCCTTCTGTCACGATCGCTGCCATCAACATGCAACAATTGCACGCCCATGACTAACAGTAATACGTCACGCCCGCGGCGTCAGACCCCAGACCTTCTCACCAAACTCGTGACCGAAGGACCGGCCGATCTAAAACTGCGGTGTGATGCGCGTAACAAGGCCACACCCAGCTGCACCCTGCACAGCGATTGTCCAGCTAATGGACTACAATCGGTGCCTGCACCCTGAATGCGCTTGTTACTGGGTCGGGTTAATTACGCAACTAACCCTTTCAAACTGCCACCACCGTCTTTTGTACAGAGAAGATGGAAACTCTGTCAGAAATACACTATAATGATTGAAAAGTCACCTGTCCAATATGGTCACCTACAGGCCAATTGGGCAGGGAGTAAACAAACACAGTAGCGTCTCTTCAAAAGGCAGGAATTCGTGAATTGCAAATAAGCGCTTAAAAACAGTTTAACACTTTCAGAAAGAAAGATTTATTACTAAAAGAGTCAAACAGGTGCAATACAATATTTACAAAGGGATATCACTAAAATATATATATGTATATAAAGATACAGCAAAGAGATAATAGGAAGGAAGTTACAGGGTTAAGTTACTTGCCCATATGCCTTGTTTTGCAGATCCAAGTTGCAGAGCACGAAGGTTCTTTGATCTGCTCCTTGGATGTTAAGCTGTTAATCTGAGGAGATGTGTTTAGAAACTAACTTTCAGGCTTGCAGCCTGTCCTTTTTAAAAATCCCTCTGAAAGGGGGGTTGCTCTGTTGGGAGGGGTCAGGAGAACTCTGAATTGGAACCAACATCTGTCATAATCCATGACATGAAACATCAGGGAAAAGCTGGACTTGAGGAATGCTCAATTTTCTTTCAAGTTCGGGGAGAAGCTGTCTTATCTGTTTTTAGGATGGGTGAGCCTACACAAGTTTCTCAGGTCAGTGCTTTTAAGTGAGAAAGGTTACACTTCCGCAGATGGCCTGGCACCGGACTGAGGATGCCTTAACTTGGGTTGACCCCTGCCATCTGTCACTCAGGAAGGGAGGGGGTAGGGAGTGAATGATCGAGGAATACCTCAAATAAAAAGAAAAGAAAAAGGAAAAGGGGAACTCCACGTCCAACTCTGATGAGCAAGTTTGCTACACCTTCTAAAACACGCAAACCACAGGATTCTTCTTAGCAGTAAGGGCTGGGGATCTAATGTCACACACACACTACAGAGCTAGAGCACAGAGCTTCCTATAATGCCTCCCTCCAGCAGTGGATGTCAATAGCCTGTTCATATTGCAATATGCTTACCCATAGTGGCGACTCAGTATGTAATATAATCCCCCCACAGCAGCAATAGTCAGTGACAGGCTTAGGCTATAATACCCCCTTGCCTGCTGCACCAGTGGTAGGCACAGGCTACAGTGACCACCCTCTCCCCAGCTGCAGTGATGGATCAGATGAGGCTGTAATAACCACCTCCTTGGGTTTTGTGCACCTAAATGCAGGACTAGAGCAATCAATGAGCCCAAACACACTGCTGTGTCTAGCTCTGCCCAAAAAAAGAAGCTTCTTCTAGCTCTGCCGGCAAGAACGTTTCTTTCATGTAGGGAAATACACAGATGCCCGTGGTGATTGCAGATTGTATACTGTGTGGTCCTACTGATAGGAAAGGTCTGTAATGGAGCCACCGGGGGATATAATTGGTCCCTGCTCTTTCCATTCACATTAATACTTCTGAGATTTTATAGATCCACAATAATCATGTCATCCCGATGGGGTTGATTTGCTAAAACTGGAGAGCGCAGAATCTGGTGCAGCTAAAACTGATTCTAAAGGCTTGTTTCTTTCTTAAAGTGGAGCTCCACCTAAAAGGGGAAGTTCCGCTTTAAGGACTGTTCCCCATTAAGGATTGGCACCTTTGGGGAGCGGGTACCCGAATTTGACAGGAACCCACTTCTGGTCCCGATCACCTAGGCAATTGGAAACGGAAGATGTCCTCCCCCCTCTCCCTCCCTGTAGTCTTTTGGGACACGTGACAGGTCCCAGAAGACTACAGGACCAGGGGCGGACTGACCATTTGGAAACTCGGGCACTGCCCGAGGGCCCCGGGGTCAGTAGGGGGCCCCATGAGTTGCCCCTGGTACCTTTTTCATAGGCTTTTTTGAGTTTGGGCAAGGACACGGGGGCCCCATGATCCCCTATTGCCCGGGAGCCCCATGAGTTGTCAGTCCGCCCCTGTACAGGACCATTCATGAAGAGCAGCGCTTCTTGCGCATGCGCAGTGGGTACCCAGCTCTGAAGCCGCAAGCTGTCATACTGAAGATGCCGGCCTCCTGGAATACAGGACAGCCAGTGAAACAAGCTGAGGAGGACACACTGCGGGACAGGTAGGTGACTGTTTTTTTTTAAAAGTCAGCAGCTACAGTTTTTGTAGCTGCTTTTATTTTTTTATAGGTCTAGTGGAACTCCGCTTTAAGAAAGAATAACAACCCTATGTATACTTACCTGCTGTGTGCAATGGTTTTATACAGAGCAGTCTGTATCCTCCTCTTCTTGGGTCCCCTGCAGGCTCTCCTTGGCCCCTCCCTCCTGTCGGGTGCCCCCACAGCAAGCAGCTTCCTATGGGGGCACCCGCTGCTCCGTGTGTCTATTCACCTTCTGTTTATCTTCATCTCCAGAATACATGAATCGTTGAGCCTTTACAACCCCTTTACCTGTACAAGCTGAAGTTCCATGCTGATGGGCTCCCGTGCACAGCTGCACCGGCCTTCACACTCTCCAGTTGTAGTAACCAGTGGCAGGTTTTCCCTGTGATGACGGATATGTACATTGTGGGCGTGTCACTTTATAGATTTGCACAGGCATGGCCCCCGGGTTCTGTGTGGCCCGGGGGCCGCTCTCATGCAGTCCGAGCTCAGACAGCAACGCCAATAGGCAGTGCTAACCAGTGAACGCCCCCAAATCATCAACCACGCCCATTCCCTCAGAATGGCACTATCGAAACCGCGCCCACTCTCTATGCACGCCGTGTAACCCCGCCTCTTCTCGTCCCTGTACCGCCCTGTCGATGACGTCAGGGGCCCCGCGGTTGGCGCGCAGGGCACAGCATGGCGGCGGTGTTGGAGTTGGTGTTGCTGGAGCGGGTGACGGTGGATGCGGTGTTGCGCTGGCTGACCGGCACGACGCAGGTAGAGCGCCCACAGCAGGCCGAATCCCGCCAGTACTGTAATAGAGAAGACCCGTGTCTAGCTTTATAGTGTTGTCATGAAGTGTCGAGACCCTGCAGGACGTGCAGCAGCCTGACCAGGGTGTACACCGTCCGTGTGTCAGCTCAGGGTGTCGGTGTGTACAGAGCACTGCAGGGCAAAGCACACCTCATACCAGAGGGGCACTCTGAGGGATAACCACTGGTCGTGTCAGCTCCAAACAGCTGGGGCAGACGGCTTGTGATTGGTGGAAAGGGACACGTGGTTCATTGGTCAACTGAACTGGATAGGTTGTCTTGTCCGGAGTCACCAGAGTCCCAACAATGTATCCTGACCTGGCCTTGGTTACTGGAGTCCTCATATCCTGACCCCAATCAGAGCCACCTCTGTATACTGTCCAGAGTCCCACCCACCATAACCTGAGCTGTACACAGTCATCAGAGCCCCCCACCATATCCTGAGCTATACACAGTCACCAGAGTCCCCCCCCCCCCCCCCCCCCACACACTGTATCATGACCTGTCCCTGATCAGAGCCTCCCACCATATCTTGAGCTATACACAGTTACCAGAGTCCCCCTTCACTGTATCATGACCTGTCCCTGATCAGAGACCCCCACCATATCCTGACCTGTACACAGTCACCAGAGTCCCCCCCACACTGTATCATGACCTGTCCCTGATCAGAGACCCCCACCGTATCCTGACCTGTACACAGTCACCAGAGTCCCCCCCCCCCACACTGTATCATGACCTGTCCCTGATCAGAGACCCCCACCATATCCTGACCTGTACACAGTCACCAGAGTCCCCCCCCACACTGTATCATGACCTGTCCCTGATCAGAGCCCCCCACCGTATCCTGACCTGTACACAGTCATCAGAGCCCCCACCATATCCTGAGCTATACACAGTCACCAGAGTCCCCCCCCCCCCCCCCCCCACTGTATCATGACCTGTCCCTGATCAGGGCCCCCCACCATATCCTGACCTGTACACAGTCACCAGTGTCCCCCCCACACTGTATCATGACCTGTCCCTGATCAGAGCCCCCCACCGTATCCTGACCTGTACACAGTCATCAGAGCCCCCACTATATCCTGAGCTATACACAGTCACCAGAGTCCCCCCCCCCTGTATCATGACCTGTCCCTGATCAGAGCCCCCCACCATATCTTGACCTGTACACAGTCACCAGTGCCCCCCCCCCGCTGTATCATGACCTGTCCCTGATTAGAGTACCCCCCACCATATTCTGACCTGTACACAGTCACCAGAGCTCCCCATCACTGTATCAAGATCTGTCCCTGATCTGAGCCCCCCACCATATCCTGAGCTATACATAGTCACCAGAGCCCCCCCCCCCGTATCATGACCTGTCCGTGATCAGAGCCCCCCCATAAAGGCTCCCACTGCTGGCAATCAGCCAGTTAGCCAATGAGGAATGAGAGGGGCGGGGCAAAGCCGTGGCACCGTGTGTGAATGGACACACGGAGCAGTGGGTTCCCCCATAGCAAGCTGCTTGCTGTGGGGGCACCCAACAGATAGGAGGAGCAGGGAGAGACTGCAGGGGAGAAGAGGAGGATCCAGGCCACTCTGTGCAAAACCACTGTACACAGTAGGTAAGTATAAACATGTTTATTTTACAAAATGAAGAAAAAAAAAAATGAATCTTTAGAATTGCTTTAAACGCTGGGATAAGTGTATAAATGTAGCAGGGGAGTATGTAAAAAATGCCGTTTCCACGCTCTGAAATTTCTTTTATTATATAAACTCAAAAGTCCCAGTTTGACTTGAACGCCCCTCGTATGTGGGTACAATCCAGTATTAAGTTAATTCTGCTAAGCACCTCCAACTAGGTTTTTGTCTATTTCTAACAAATCCATGATGGTCATATGATATGCACAGTAACCCTACTCCTGTGTATATACAACAGCAAGAAAAAGTATGTGAACCCCTTGCAATTAACTGTTTTTTTTTGCAATAATTTGCCATAAAATGTGATCTGATCCTCACACAAACACAATTCTAATTTCTAGTTTCTTTGTTGAACACACCCCATTAAACATTCACAGTGCTGGTGAGAAAAGTAAGTGAACCCATGGACTAATTACATCAGTGGTTCTCAACCTTCCTAAAGCCGTGACCCTTTAATACAGTTCCTCATGTTGTGGTGACCCCCAACCATAAAATTATTTATCCAGTAATTATAATTCATGAATGTCGTTTTACCTCCAATGCTGCTGCTTTCAACACAGTAGCTGCTTTTAACAGAGTAGCTGCTTTCTACACAGTAGCTGCTCTTTACACATCGGAAATGTGTGTTTTCTGATGGTCTTAGGGGACCCCTGTGAAAGGGTTGTTCGACCCCCAAAGGGGTCACGACCCACAGGTTGAGAACCACTGAATTACATCAACAATAGCTAATTGGAGTCAGTGGTTTGCACATGTGGAGTCCAGTTAATGAAATGCGTTGGAGGTGTGGTGCAGAGCTATTTTGTGAAGACATTCAAACATTAAGATTGCTGTTCATAAGAATCATCAGCTGATGTGAAGCATGCCTCACAAAAGGGGCTTTCTGAAGACATACAATCAAGACTGGTTGATCTGCATAAGGCTGCATTTACATTTGAGCGCAGCTTGCATGTTTTTTACGCATTTTGTCATGCAATTTCTGTACGTTTATGCTCATTTTCATAGTGTTTTTTGAGCTTTGGCATTTTTTTGTTAGCCAACAGAGAAAAATATCATCTGTTGCATTATTTGTTGCTTGGATTTTCAGCTTTTTAAAGCTTTCTCATCAGTCTTTATTTTATTATTCATTAACTATTTTTTATGTTAGGGTAAGGGGTTAGAGTTAAAGTGGTTGTAAAGGCTGAAGTTTTTTTTACCCTCATGCATTCTATTCATGAAGGTAAAAAAAACCTTCTGTGTGCAGCAGCTCCCCCAGTCCCCTCAATACTTACCTGAGTCTCATTGCGATCCAGTGATGAGAATGACAGACTCGGCTGTCCCGGGTCTTTTCCTCATTGGCTGAGACAGCAAGCAGGAGCCATTTGCTCCGGATGCTAATCACAGCCAATGAGGGAAGAGGGCAGCTCCGTGTGTGAATGGGCACATGGAGCAGCGGGTGCCCTCATAGCAAGCTGCTTGCCGTGGGGGCACCTGACAGACAGGAGGAGCAAGGAGAGCCTGCAGGGGCACCTGAGAAGAGGAGGATCCAGGCTGCTCTGTACAAAACCACTGCACACAGCAGGTAAGTATAGACATGGTTGTTATTTTTCCAAAACAAAGTGAACCTTTAGAATTGCTTTAAGGTTAGGTTAGGGCAGTGTTTCTCAACTCCAGTCCTCATGGACCCCCAACAGGTCATGTTTTCAGGATTTCCCTCAGATGAAACAGCTGTGGTAATTACTAAGGCAGTGAAACTGATCAAATCACCTGTGCAAAATAATGGAAATCCTGAAAACATGACCTGTTGGGGGTCCATGAGGACTGGAGTTGAGAAACACTGGGTTAGGGTAAGGATTAGGGGTTGAGTTTAGCGTTAAATGTTGGGGTTTGGGTTGGGGGTTAATATTTTTTTTTTGTTGTTGTTAGGTATTAATCATAGTAACTAATACATTCAAAATGCATAAATAAATAAAAACAATCATAATTAAATTAAATAAATGAATAATTTGCTATAATAAATAAATTATTAACCCCCAACCTTAATCCCCTAACCCTAAAAAAAATATATATATTAAATAAATTATTAATAATAATAAACACCCAAACAAAATAACAATAATAATACATTTTGTGTTGGTCTTTTTTTCCTTTTTTTTTTTTTTTTTTTTTTTTTTTTAAGGGTTAGGGGGTTAAATGTTCCACCTGTTTTTAGGGTGGAAAATGTATCATGTTCCCATAGCCGCAGCCGCGCAGCGTAACAGTACAAGAAGTTTCCCCATACTATCTGTCAAATTTGAAAACAGGCGTGAACGAATGAACTGCAAGTCCTGACAGCCTTAGCAGCTGTGGGCTTGTAGTTTTCAATGAACTACCACGGCGCTGTGGAGTGCCATGGTAGTTAATTGAAGCTTCCTGTCATAATATCTGTTTGCTAGTACATCCCGTATGCAGATATTCTGACAGGTCTGCAGGAGACCTGCATGGCACCAGTGATCTGGTCGCTGGTGCAATGCTTTCCAGGCTCCTTTGGGCAAAAATAATAAATGCACATTTTTTTTACCTGCAAAAAAATGCATTTATTATTTTTGTCCAAAAGCTGAACTTATCCTTTAAGGTTAAGGGTTAAATATTTATTATTACATATAATAGATTTTCTTATTTTTATTTGTATTTATTTTACATTTATTTATTGATATATTACTTTTTTAAAAATGTTTTCAAATCTGCCTGATTTAATTAACAAAAAAAACTCCAGAACTTGTCTGAACTTCAGGCGACTTGGAGTGGAAATCCATCTCCACTGAGAATAATTTTTTTTCCTCAAGCGGTTTCGAGCTTTGAACTTCAAATCGCTCAGGTGTGAATGGGGCCTAAGGCTTTAAAGGTATCCAAAGCAATCTTAAAGTGTTTAGGCATCTATCAGTTGACAGATAAATTGTCTATAAATGGGGACAGTTTAGTACTGTCACTACTCTTCCTTGAAGTGGGCATCCAACCAAGATGACTCCCCAAGCAAATGTAAAATTTCCAGAAGTTTTGAAGCCATGGGAAAAACTTTTTTTTCCCATTTTTTTTTTTTGGAAAAAAATAGAAATTTTCAGAAAAATTAAAGAAAAATGTTCATTAAGGAGTAGCCTTACAAACTGAAAGTCATTTTGTTAAATTGTGAACATGAAATGCAGTGTATATAAAATTATTAAGGAAAATAGTGCTGCGCTAACAAATATGTTCAATATATAGAAAGGTATAAAATATAAATATATAACATCTTCAGTCAACAATAGATACATAAATGGTGTCAGTGTAGAT